GACTCAGCCTCCCATCCTTCCGAGGTCTGTAAAACGAGGACCCAGACTGTTGGGGGCAAGAGGCTGACTCTGTAAACTGCTTAGAGGGCTGGAAAGCACTGTGAAGCGGTATGTAAGTGTAAGTGCTATTTTCCTTCCTTTCCTCCTTCCTTCACAGTGGTTAGAATGCAGTACTGCAGGCTAACTTGCTGCTCACTGCTAGCAGTTCGATTCTGACTGGCTCAAAGTTGACTTAGCCTTCCATCTTTCTGAGGTGGGTAAAATGAGGACCCAGATTGTTGGGGGCAAGAGGCTGACTCTGTAAACCGCTTAGAGTGGGCTGTAAAAGCACTGTAAAGTGGTATATAAATCTAAGTGCTATGACTAGCTTCCTTCCTTCCTAACTCCCTTCCCTCCCTCCCTCCTTCTTTCCTTCCCTTCCTCCCTCTCTGCCTTCTTTCCTTCATAGTGGTTAGAATACAGTACTGCAGGCTAACTCACTGCTCACTGCCAGGAGTTTGATCCTGACCGGCTCAAGGGTGACTCAGCCTTGCATTTTTCCCAGGTCAGGAAAATGAGGACCCGGATTGTTGGGAAGCAAATATGCTGAGTCTGTAAACTGCTTGGAGGGGGCTGTAAAAGCATGGTGAAGCGGTATATAAGTCTTAAGTGCTACTGCTACCTGCATAATGGTTTTCTTTCCAGAGCTCATACTTACTGCCATGCAGCAGCTCCTGAATGTCTTGTACGTTCGGGATAACTTTGTTCTCCAGGCACTGAGCGAAGCTGGACAGGGCTTTGCTGCGAACGGTGGGCACTTTGTCTGAACACCGACCGATGATCATGACCTGAACCAGGAATTTGTGTTTCAGAAACACCTGCTCCTCTTCGGTCAAAACGACATCCGGAAACCGCTCTGGATGTTCTAACAAAGCCAAGGCCACATCGAGTGCAAATACCCTGTAGGAAATCTGTTACGGGAGGAAATAAGAGGTAGATTAGAAATAGAAACGGCACTTAGACTTATATGCCGCTTTAGAGTGCTTTAGAGTATTCTCTAAGTGGTGTAAAGAGTCAGCCTCTTGCCCTCCAACAATCTGGGTCCTTGTTTTACCGACCTCGGAAGGATAGAAGGCTGAGTCAACCTTGAGCCAGTCAGGATCAAACTACTGGCAGTTGGCAGAATTAGCTTGCACTGCAGCAATCTAACCATTGCACACTATACAAGGGAGGGAGGGAGGGAGGGAGGAAAGAAGGAAGGAAGGGGAAAAGGAAAAATAGCCCTTAGACTTATATACTGCTTCAGGGTGCTTTCCAGCCCTCTCTAAGGGGTTTACAGAGTCAGCCTATTGCCCCCCCAACAATCTGGGTCCTTGTTTTACGACCTCGGAAGGACGGAAGGCTGAGTCAACCTTGAGCCTTGTGAGATTCGATCTGCCAAATTGCAGGCAGCCGGCAGTCAGCAGAAGTAGCCTGCAGCACTGCCCTCTGACCACCACGGCTCATATTCATTTATTTTTCACATATTTGAACCGCTCACACACACACACACACACACGGAAATCACATAGTGCAGTGGTCCCCAGCCTCTGTGGCTTGGTGGCCCGACGGGTGCAGAGAGGGGAACCGGGCCAAGCGAGCATCTGGCCCGGGCACACAACTCAATTAGTGCAAGTGGCGGGCCAGCACATACCCGTGCGCACACCTTGACTTGCAGAAGTTGAGCTGCTCGTGCATCTATGCGTGTGGTGGTCCGCCGTATGCGCAAGTCTGAGCTGCATACGCACTGGCCCATTGCTTGCGTGGCCCAGTTCTGAGCTGTGGCCTAGGGGGTTGGGGGCCCCTCACATAGCCAAGGGGCCGATCAGTTAATGGATAAATTCTGTCGGCTGCAGAATCCACTCTGGGGACGTTTTGACTGTCTTGGATGGGGTTGGAAATTCTGAATTTTTCATTGGGTTCGTTTCCTCACCTTGTTATTGCGTGAGTATCCATACAGCCAAGCAATGAATCTGGCATGCTCAGTGCAAGGGAGTTTGTAAAGCAACTGCGACAAAGACAACGCCGCATACGTCCGGTATTCAGATTTATCCGGAACCTGGAATGAAACGGAATAAAAGGAGCGATCCAATTTAGTTGAAGTCAGATGTTCCATCACAGTGATTGCAACACGGAGTTGGTTACTGGGTGTTGGTACCCAGCTTTCCGCTATGACTGACCTATGGAAGAGGATTCCGGTCAAATGGCCACCTCAAACGAATCCCTGTTTTAATACTAATTCATATTTTAATTTAACTATTAAAATAGTTTTAATGACTGGTGCGGTGGCTTAGAGGTAGCGCTCTCGCCTCACAATCAGGAGGCTGTGAGTTCGATCCTCCGTAGAGACAGACATTCCTGAGAATACGAGAATATATCTGCTGAACAAAACTCCGCATTGGCAACAGGAAGGGCACCCGGCCAGTAAACACTCAGCTCCATTCAGTTGCCCAAGATTCCACCTCGCAAGGGATTGTGGGGACTTTAAAAGAAGAAGATGGTGATGATGATTAAATTAGTTTTAATGCTAATCCCAGTGGAGAAAAGGAAAACCTTGCAAATAGCAGAGCCAGAATGATAAAAGGGGTGATGGGACAGATTTTTTTTTAAATAAAAAGGCCTACTAATGGAAATGTCAAATACTAGAGACTGTTTTGAGTTATTTCCCCCCACGCCCACTTTTGGAGAGTTTGTTGCCTCACATATATTAAAGGGCAACTCTAAAATCAAGACTCGAACACAGGATACGAAGTCAGCCGGAAGCAAAACTTAGAAGACGCCCAAGAAAAAAAAGTCTTCAAACTTCTCAAATATTTACTCCAAGTCATCAGTTCTCAGTTGACTGCCGTTATCAGGAAAATTCTCCTCCCTCCTTATTCCCCCCCCCCCCCACAATGGACAGGTAAAGAACACACCTCACCTTAACACATATATGTTGCAGCAAGATCCTTAGTACAGGGAAGGCCGTTTCTTTCAGTTCTTCAATCATAGAGCTAGATTAGGAGATACGCAAATACTCCACTTACAACTGCTCGTTTACTGACCATTCGAAGTTACAATGGCACTGAAAAAAAATGACTGATGGCCGATTTTCACACTTACAACCACTGCAGTATCCCCATAGTCCAGTGGTGGGATTCCAAAAAAAAATTATGACCCGTTCTCTGGGCGTGGCTTGGTGGGCGTGGCTCAGGGGGTATGATTCAACCGGTATAACAACCGGTTCGTTGAGCGCGTGCAGAGGGTTTGCTGCTGACCTTCTGCAATCCTGCCCTCTCCCTGAGCGTTCAAACAGCGGCTGCGCAGCAATCGGCTGTGCCGTGCGAAGTAGCTGAGCTTGAAAACCGGGAAATGAATGTCCGTCTGGAGCTGGGGCAGGATTGCCAGAGGGAACCGGTTTGCTCACAGAATGATCCTTGGAGCTACCAGTTCGGCTGAACCGAGCCGAACCGGGAGAATCCCAACTGTCCAACGCATAAAATATTCCTATAGTCTTTTTAGAGTTGCCAACAGAAAGGGAGGGAAGGGGTTTGAAAGAGCAGTGTGGCGACCTGGAAAGCGAAAGCGCATTCCATAGTTTTTCAAAGATAGTAACTGGATGACTGAAGTTTCTGCAATATTTGTATGGATGTACGCACGCGCACACACACACACAATTTAACAACTTTTCTGGCCAGAGTTATGGCAAATATATCAAGGTATCTTAGAGAGATCAAGGGGTGGGTAGGTCCAGGGAAGGGCTGCTGGGGGTTCGCAGGGGTTTGGGTGAGCCCCTAGCTAAGATTCTGTGCAGTTCAGAGAACCTCCAAATCCCACCCCTGGCTGGTCCAGTCCACCCCTCCCCTCCCAGGAGTGGGGATGTGGCCCATTTTGGGTGCAGGTAAGTGCAGGGCATGCGCGGAGGCCCGGGGGACGGTGAAAAATGGGCCTCCCGGAAGTTCCGGAAGGCTGGAAACGGGCCCTTTTCCAGCCTCCAAAGAGCCTCCGGAGCCCAGGGGCGGCCGTTTCAGCCTTCCTGGTAGTTCGAGGAAAGCCTCCGGAGCCCGGGGAGGGCAAAAATACCCCCCCCCCGGATGCAGGAGGCTGACCAAACCACACCCACTATGGCCATGCCCACACAGCAAGCAGGCAAAGAACCCACTGGTGAAATTTTTGAAGCCCACCCCTGGGCAGGTGGGACAGCAATCGTTCCACTGAATGGGCTCCGGCACAGATGCAGAAGAAGAAGGGAAACAGGCAGGTGGAGTTTTTTTTTTTTTACCTGAGGAACCTGAGGGCCGCTTTCCTCGCATCGATCATCTGAGAAGGGATAGGGAGAGAGACGCTGCCTTCTTTCCCAGGCAGCATCACGATGACCCTGAGAAGCTGATAGAAGACTTGGCGCAAAGTCTGGGGAAAGGAGGGAAGGAAACCAATGTGGGAGTACGGACAGTCCGGAGCTCTTTGTACGAAAGCGAACAAAAGTCCCACTTAGCTCAGTTAAATTAGCCGCTTTGCTACCTTTTGGTCACCTTCTACATTTAGACACCTTTGGCCCGAATGATGGAGACTTTACTGACGTACAGACAAGAGGACAGAAGCAGGCTATCTGTTTTATTTAGCCTATTTTAGAAAGCTCTGTATAACAGGCTTCAGCTGGCATGCTAGATACCTCTTTCACTTATTTCGAGCAAAACAAAACAAAAAAGGGAGAAAAACGTGTACATTAAATTAATTGATGTAATTAATATGTGCACGAGCAACACAGGCACGCATACAAAATTATACACCGTCATGTTTTACCTGTAAATGACTTTTTTTTTGTTTTAATTGCAACACACGCACTAACAACTGCTTTAAAATCAATGTAAATCGTCGTAAGCTTGACTGTAAAAAAAAACTATGATTTCTGTCACAGAATTGTCAAAGTCTGGAATGCCCTATCTGACTGAGTTGTCTCAGCTACAAATGTTCACAGTTTCAGTCACAACTTGACTTCTACA